TGCTAGCAACCCGAACGAACCCAACCCATTAAATCGTTTTGGTTAAATTTTATTTTTTATTACTTATTAACTATAAAATTTAGAATATCTGATTAAATATAAAAAGATTATATATACTCACACGCAAAATTTTAAAATAATTAAGTTATTGTGAATTTGTTAACTTAATTTTTTGTATTAATAATAGATTTTAATATATTAGTAAATTGAACTCTAAGATAAACCCTCAGTAGTCTCTTATCTTCATAGCAATTATGTATGCCAACTTCTGTTGACCTGGATGCATAAACCCTCAATAGAAAGTTAGATAAGGCTATGGCAGATAGATTCTTTTGTATACCAATATGATAACCTGGAAGCTAGGGAAGAAAGCCAGCTTCTGTTGCACTTGTGAAGAAGCTCTCGATGGCATAAGCAAAGCAGTACAGGGATATCTTTATACTTCCACTCTTCTTTTGGATCGATAGTGCCAAGCCAGTCAAGAACTGCAAATGGAGCAACAATGTATCGTTAAAAGCTTCATGTTCTGCATAAAAACTGTGCGGATTAATCAAAGAGAATCTTTATAGTCCCTCCCTGCAACCAATGGAATGTTGCACTCTTGAATCTTCTGAAGAGCAGGCTCGTCAAGCCCTGTAAGTCTATAAGAAGAACACAAATGCTGCTTGTAATGCAGCGATTATGGACACTTATGATGATGAAATTACTCATTGATGTATGAAATTAAATGATACTGTGGATACAAATGTGGAGTCTGAGTTTGCTTGTATGTGTGGAAATCAATTAGATGCAGCTATGAATGACACAAGTACTCTACATAAATGCACTCCAATTGTTCGGTTAAATGCCCCATCAAAAGCTGCTTGCTGAAAGGATCAATTTGCTTCATAACAATAGCCCTCCAAGCAGCTCAAAGTTGACTTTGTTCAATAGAACATTGCTAAGCTAGGACAAGCCCTTGTAGGAAAGCTCTTGGGCAAGAAGATTGACTCACTTAGGTTGTTTAACGAGTTAAAACGAAAATGAGTCTTATATTACTTGTAACTAATAATTTATCTTCTTAATATAAGAAATGCACAATAAATTTATAAATCTGCCTATGCCCGTTCTGTTGGTCTTGAATCCAGAAGAAAATTTTTGAAATAAAATTTTTGTGCCCCCTCTATAAAAAGTTATTGGCTTCGAAACTGAGATCATGGCTTCATTTGGGATAACTTTCTTATTGTTTTTCAAAGTAGTTTTTAAGTGCAAATTTTTTTTGAGAAACTGGTAAGAAAGTTGTCTCAAACGAAGGCTATATTTCATGCTATGAGATTTCATAGCTTTGCTCATGTTACATGAATCAAGGTAGTAAATCTGAACGTTAATATTTACCTAAGCTTCTAGTAATGCATTTAATAAATTTTTCTTTTAGAATTACTTTGAAATCAGATAAATCATTAATATGATGAGCACCTATCTAAGCTTTTTAAGAATCACACCCTGTGTCACTTCTTCGATAAAAAATAGTTGAAATTGGATTTCTTAAGCTACATAGCAGCAAAAGACTAGCTATGGAGATTTGTGTCTATGATCTTTATTTTCTCTCAAATGCATAATGTTAAGGCAATTCATTTAAGTTCTAACATTTGATGTTGTTATGATCTATTATATATAGAACATTTAGTCATTTTTTCAGTCTACATAAAAACAGTTTCAATGTAGTTTTGAAAAAAAAAGGTTGGAAGTCTAGCTACAATCGTATTTTCAATATAGTCTTTATTTAGACAGCTTTTTTACTGCTTTCTAAAGTAGCATTTTAGTACAAAAATTTTCTTAAATTAAAATTTTTATACTAGAAAGCTGATTTAGAAAGCAATGAGAAAATTGTCCCAATCGAAATCATAGTTTATAACGTTTTGTTTGCAAATTAAAATGAATGTATGGAGAAAGCTTTTGCTAATCAAGAATTAATTGACTTATCATGCAGAACTTTTAAATCAATGCAATTTCTTGCATAAGAATCCTAGCGAGGTAATAATAATTGAGAAAATTTTTCAGAATTAGAAATCAAGAACACTTATAAAGAAAAGATATTAGAGAGAAAGACACCCTTCAATGAACCAATCTTTCATGTTTTATTTCATCCTGGAGAGAGCATGCAATTCAGCTACGTATAGATGGCTGAAGCTAACTAAAGCAGACAATGAATAATCTTCAAGACTTGTTCTTTCTCGATATGGAAACTCAGGAGTTGTTCAAATATAATTAAGTTATTTTATCAGTTCATCAATGGTTATAGGATCAATATCTTTAGATTCCTCAATTGAAAACATAACATCATCAATCTTAGGAGTCATGGATCTTAAAAAAAATCTCTCAACAAAAGTAATATTACCCTTATTCAGACATTTCTCACCATTTTCTTTCATCTTTTTAGCGATGGAAAGAGCACGTACAACAGAAATACTCATTCACATACTCTGCTATATATCTTCATATGAAGAACTTTGAACTCCTTTCGAAGAGCTTGCAAATTTTCGCACTTCACTTGTGCTATATCTTGATTTTCATGCTTCATAAAGTCGCAAATATCCTTCAAAGTTTGCTTGTTTAGGACTGTCTCTGTGATTAAATTATTTAATGCATGTAATAGATGGTTCTTTATTTTCAAATCTTTCAATTACTCATATTCAATATGCTTCTTTAGTGTGCATCATTGAGAACTACACCTTCTGCTACTACAAGAAGCCAATTTTGCAGCAGCTGCCAGTACTTCTTTGATCACGAGAAGTTCTCCATAAGAATCGCCAAATGATCATAATACCCATCAAATTTTTGAACATCTTGCTGTACAAATGAATTCTCTATTTTCGTATATAGATCACTTGCATAAAACTAATGCTTCTATTTGAGTTATAGGACGCAGTTACCAATTAATAAAAAATAGATACATATGATATAAAATGGATATGGATGAAATTGCATATATGCACTTCATTGAAAGATAGATTTGGCTAAATTAACCTTACAAAAAAAATTATTTGAAAATTTGTAGCTCATGAGCTAGCTCGTGAGCTAATGAGTTGAGTTAGGGATGGGTCAAGCTTGGCTCATTAGCTCATCGAGTTCGAATCATGTCATTTATCGAGTCCAGACAAAGCCAGCACGAGTCGGCTTGACTCACTTATACCCCTAGGATAAAGGGGCGTAGATTTGTCACCAATTATGACAGGAATGAGTTTAATATATCGATTAATCTGCTTTTAAAAATTCAATTTGTTTACAAAATATTACTACATCAGTAACCATTTTTATGTCAAGTAGTTATCATAAATAGAATTTTTATCATTTTAATATGTAATCATTAAGTAGTTATCATACTTAATTCATAATGACTGATCTTATTCAACTTACCTTAATGACAAAAACATTTAGTCATAACCAGTGTTTTGAAAACCGGACCGGACCGGCCGGTTCAACCGGTTGAACCGGGAACCGGCCGGCTAACCGGTCGGTTAGAACATGGAAACCGGGGTAGCATCCAACCGGAAAAGAATCGGATGAACCGCTGGTCGAATCAGGAAACCGGAGAACTGGCCGGATTTTAAAGAATCGGCCGATTCAAAAACGAGATGTTTTGGGCGTTGAATTGAACTGTGAACGGCTGAGATTTACTTGATATCGAATAACCCTAATTGCAATTTCTATTTCGCTTCTTTCGGCCTTTCGTTCTCCCTCATAGGCATTTCGAAAATTTTACTTCTCCTTGGTCTCTCTTCTGCTCCCCCACTGACTGGCATTCGTTCTCCGAAGTCCCAGCTCTCTTCGGCGCTCCCTTCTCCAACCTAAAGCAAGGCAAAGGAAAGGATCGACACTCGATGGTCGACACACGCGGCGGTTGACAGTAAGATCTGGCCATAATTTCTTAGTTCTTTTTTTCCGTTCATTTTCTAGTTTCTTAAAAACAATTCCGTTTAGGATTGAGGGAATTTTCTATTTCGCTTCTTTGAGCTTTTGATATTAAAAGTTGATTTCTTTTGCATCGAATCACTAATGAGCATTTCGGTTTTTCAGGTTATGTTATTTCTTTCAGTATACGTTTTCTCAACTAATGCTTAAGAACTAATATAAGGTTCTGAGCTTCAAATTGTAGCACATTTGCACTCCGGTTGCACACACTCGCAAACAATTAACAAGTGCCATTAATTATTGATTATTTTGATATGAAAATAGAATGTATAATGAAAATATTAGAGGAAAATTTATCATTTATTTTATTTTTTTAATACTATTATTATTTTTTACATCATCCGGTTCGACCCCGGTCAAACCATGAACCTCTTCTTCATCCGGTTCGATGTCCCGTCTAATTTTCAAAACCTTGGTCATAACAAATATTTGCTAATTAAAGAAATTTGGCAGTTAATTTAATAAACTGTAGTGACTTTTTAAAAAATTATTTATTTTATTTTGTTATCATTCGTCATTTTAATTATATCTTAATTTAAATAAATAATTTTTAATTTAATTCGTTGATAAAAAATGATTTTTTATTTTTAGCATTTTATTAACTTTATTTATTTATTCTTTTAATCAATAAAATTAGAAAATAGATATAGCGGTTAGAGAGTTATATATTTCACTATTTCGAACAGAGAAAAATAAGATTCTCAAACTTTTATTTTGTGAACGAATTAAAAAAAAAGGGGGCATTTTCAAAAATAAAATCCGAACGTTAATGTAGCTACAGGGATTTTTAAAATCAAATCCGAACGTTCCTAAAGCTATAGGGATTTTTCTAAAATAAAATCTCTATATTTCCAAAGATAAAATCTGTATATTTCCATAAATAAAACTTTCGTCTAAAATTTATTTAACTGAGGGCTTTCATCTCCTCCTCCATACCCCCGCTCCAAACTCCGCAGGCCTCGCTGAGAATCCCAGTTGCAGTTGCAGATAACATTCCCCAGAGATAAAAAAAAAGTCGGAGATTTGTTGAGAGAGAAGGAGACTGAGTGATGAGCGAGAGTTTCGACCAGGATTACCGTCTTGGAGAACTGCTCGGCCGCGGTCAGTTCGGCGCAGTATATAAGTGCTTCTCTGTCTCTACCGGCAAGGATTTCGCCGTGAAAATAATCGACAAGTTCTCTGGTTGCTTCGATCGCCGCTTGGTCTACTCCGAGATCAAGTTAACCCTCCTCACGGCTTCTGAGAACCCACGCTCCATCCAAATCCACCAAGTATATGAAGACATCACCGCCGTTTATCTCATCCTAGATCTCTGTACTGGGCCAGATCTCTTTGACCGCATTGCCAGTCACGGTCCCTTCTTCGAGAGCGAGGCTGCTGCCCTCATCACTGAATTGGTGGAAGCAATAGCAGAATGCCACCGCCGCGGCATCGCACACCGTGACATAAAGCCAGAAAACATATTGTTCGGCTCCAACAGCCGTCTGCTTCTGGCTGATTTTGGCTGCGCAGCACAGTTTGAGAAGGGAGCAAGAACTTTAATGGGAAAAGTGGGAACTCCTGCTTATGCTGCTCCGGAAGTAATGGCCGGCGAAACCTACGATGAGAAGGTGGATGTGTGGAGCGCGGGGGTCGTCCTTTACTTGATGTTGGGTTGGACATTACCTTTTAATGGTGAAACTGTGGATGAGATAGTGGCTGCTATACAGAAAGGAGATCCAGTTCGCTTCCCGAAGGAATTCTTCCCCTGGTTATCACGCGGAGCAGAGGATCTGATAGAACAGATGCTTGCTAGAGATCCAGCGAAGAGGCTCTCAGCAGAGCAAGTGCTGAGTGAGTTGCCTTCCTTATAAAAAACACTTTTTTATGTTCTTTATTGGCATTACTATGTTACTAAAAACTTTTTTTTTTTTTTGACTTTTTAAGGGCATCCATGGATCACGGAAATGTCAAGGACATGGATATAACAGGGGAATTCAATTGTACAGCAGTTCAGAACATATTATTTTTCCTTCTATAGCAGCTTGGAAGAATTTTTTAGATGAGCAATAAGCCAACAAATTGATGAGATTTCAACCAAGCAGATCATGTGTAGAATTCTCCATTCTGTCAATGTTTTAGAAAGATTAAAAAAATTACAGTTTTTTGTTGAAGCATTTGTTGAACTGCAAAAGCAAAATTTAAATAATTGCATTAAATAATATCTTTCCATTCTGTCTTAGTTGAGCTGATAATTTTTGGTGTAAAAGAGCAATATACTGTACTTATTACTATTCAATGAAGTAAGCAATCTTTCACTCAGACAATGTGTTCGGTAAATGAAGTTCTTGCATATACTGTATTCGTATTCATGAAAAATAAAACAATGCCATAGACTTGAAACATGAGAACATCCTTCAATCAAGATTCTTATGGCCAGCAGGTTTTCTCTTCTCTTCCTTGTCTAAATTTTTGCTCAAGTAATGCTCGTTGCTTTTGGCCTACAAACGAATTCAATAAAAATACTAATCAAACTCTAGATGTGTGGGACTGTGGAATACACACCATAAAGAAAATCATATGGAAAGTTGGCTAAACTGGTTTCAACGAATATAATATATTGACCGTCTTGTTTTTTAGTTGTTCTTCATGTTGATTCCTAAGACTTCATTTGAGACATTTTTCTTACAGTTTTCTAAAACAGCTTTCTAATACAAAAATTATCATCAAAGTTGCCCCAAACGAAGCCCAAATTATGATAATATTTATCTACGGAGCTAATGGATTTAAGAATTGGGTGCTTATGTTTAACTTTATCATAATGTCATTATTTATTGAATATCCTAATGGTTTAGCATAATGATCATCATAAACTTTATAGGATGATATGTTGCTTCAGTTGTCATCATTCATTAATGCTCTTTTAAATGGATGTTGGCTTCAATTTTCACTACTCATTGCTCTGCCCATCATATGATATTCTTGTGCTTGACTCGTTTTGATTGCTTAACCAGTTGCTGAATTTAGATCTACTTCTATAATGATAGTACCTTAATTTTTTGAATTTTCATTGTTCATAGAACCTTGTTGTTGCTTCATATATAGGTGTTATGTTTTCTTCAACTGATTTTTTGTCCCAAAGAGCTATGCTTATTGTGGATGGTAGGAGCCATGGAGGCTTCATCTGGTACAGTTTTCTTATTATTTTCTGAAGCAGCTTTTTATTATATATATATATTTTTTATTTAGAATATTAGGTACTATAAAACTATTTAAAATTTTTTTTTCTTTTAAAATTTTTTATTTCTTAACCGCCATGGAGGCTTCATCTGGTACAGTTTTCTTAATTTTCTGAAGCAGTTTTTCATTATATATATATATATTTTTTATTTAGAATATTAGGTACTATAAAACTATTTAAATTTTTTTTTCTTTTAAAATTTTTTATTTCTTAACCATTAGGTGAGAGTTGGCTAAACTATATAAACATTTACTTACATTTTACATTAAAAACTATGTACAAACTAATGGCTCAAAATGATAAAAAATGTTGCATAAGCCAAACAAGTTTAAGAAAAGAAATTGTGTTTTGGACATCTTTTTCCAGAAAATAATCACAATTTTATTTGGTTACTATTTTTTGCTACTCTTTCATTGCTTTTAAAAACTTTTATTATGAAAATATATATATATATTTTTACAACCAAGATAGCGAAGTTGCTTTCAACAGAGTAGCTTCATAACAAAATTTAATAAATGTTACTGCCGTCCCAAACAGATTCTAATTTTTCATCCAATTTATTCTAATAATCATTAAACTATGGTGTCATCTATCATTATTGTTGATAAGCCTTATGATATTACAATCGCCTGATCACTAGACACAGCTAGATTTATACGTGTTATATTCTATGTTTTCGTTGACCTTCTAAATATGTGCAATTTCAATGTATATTATCAACGTCGGATGGCAAGTCTACATTTATATAACTTCACAAACTTCATCATTAGTCATAGATGCCATGAAAATCATATTAACCTTTAAATGTAATAGTTCAATCAGAGAAGAAGCTTTTCAAACATAGTGTGTTCATGAACTTATATTGGACATTTTCTATGTACCAACAACATAAAAATGTATAAAATACTTGGTTATTGTTGGCTCAGCTTACATATTTTTTCTATTTCAAATATAAAATTTAATTCCACAAGCAAATCTTAAATGAATTACTTAACTCTCGACTAAATTAATTAGTACTTATTCATTTTCTAATTTTATTAATTTTTTTAAATAGTAAAACAAATAATGTTACTAAAATACTTTAAAAAACTACTTAAAATAGTAAAAATAAAAAAATATGTATATAGACAAAGGTTTTGTTTGGGACAATTTTTTAGTTGCTTTATTTTCTTATTGCTTTCTCATAGTTTTTTAAAATTTTTTATGATGGAAGACACCTTCGTGCAAACCTAACAGCGGAGATATTTTCTCCATAGTAATTTCACAAATAACTCAATAACATATTAACATGCAGATAGACCCAAAACCAATTTCTCAAAAGCACTTAGAATTAATTTGGAACAACTTTCTTAATATGGAAATTCCTAGCCTGAAAGGCCTTGTGCGGTTTCAACTTCACCATGGGTCGGACGTCTACTACTTCGGATTCAACTGCGTTTTGTACAGCTGCTTGTAATGCAGCGATTATGGGCAATTGTGATGATGAAACTGCTCATTGATGTATGAAATTAAATGATACTGTGGATACAAATTTGAAGTCTGAGTTTGCTTGCATGTGTGGAAATCAATTAGAAGCAACTATGAATAACACAAGTACTCCACATAAATGCACTCCAATTGTTCGGTTAAATGCCCCATCAAAACCTGCTTGCTGAAAGGATCAATTTGCTTCATAACAATAGCCCTCCATGCAGCCCAATGCTGCCATACGTATCCCTAAGCTCCCCAATACAAGAAATATATTAGAAGTCTTCAAAATTGATGATGTTTGCAAGTCAAATGAACTTGTTGAAGATGTAATCACATTTTCTCTACATGTTGACTCTGTTCAACAGAACATTACTAAGATAGAACAAGCCCTTGTGAGGAAGCTTAATGTTGTTTAATGAGTTAAAACAAAAATGAGTTTTATATTGTCTTGTGATTAATATTTTATCTTTTTAATATAAGAAATGCTAAATAAATTTATAAAATTGTCTATGCCGATTCTATCGGTCCCAAATCCTGATGAAAAAAATGTGAGAAAACTTTATTTGGGCCCATCTATAAAAAGTTTTTGGCTCCGCAGCTAAGACTATAGCTTCATTTGAGACAATTTTATTACTATTTTTAAAGCAGCTTTTTAGTACAAAAATCTCTTAAAAAAATAGTAAGAAAATTGTCTCAAACGAAGCCTTTATGTCATGCTATGAGATTTCATAGCTTTGCTCTGATTACATGCATGAAGGTAGCAAATCTGAACGTTAACATTTACCTAAGCTAAATTATCGTTTTGAGAATTACTTTGAAATCAGAGACATCATTAATATGATGAGCACCTATCTAAGTTTTTAAGAATCACACCCTATGTCTCTTTTTTTCTCTCAAATGCATTATTTGTGCTTAGAAAACAACTTAAAAGTCCAAACAAATCTATTGGGATCTGATGATGGAACCAGAATTTGTATACTAAGGCAATCCTTCAAGTTCTAACATCTGATGTTGTTATGATCTGCTGTATAGAAAATATAGCCAATTTTGCAGTCTACTTAAAAACAGTTTCAATGTAGTTTTGAAAAAGATTGGTTGAAAGTTTAGCTACAAGCATATTCTCAATATAGGCTTCGTTTGATACAGTTTTTTTACTGCTTTTTAAATCAGCATCTTAGCACAAAAAATTCTTAAACTAGAATTTTTTATACTAGAAAGCTAGGGGTGTCAATTTTTTACACGATCTGAAACAGAACCCAATCCGGAAAAATCCGGGTTCGGGTCAACCCGCATCCGAAACGGGTCGGATTCGGGTTCAACAAATCAACCCGTTTTAAAAATCGTGTCGGGTTCGGGTTGACCCAGCAACCCGAAATTAACCCGAAAGTGACACGAAAACTCATATTTGACACGAAAACCCGAGATTGACCCATTTTTGACCCGAAAATCAAAGATTGACCTGATTTTTTTACCCAAAAATTAGTAATTTTGGGTCAACCCCGGGTCATTCGTGTCAGGTCGGGTTGACCCGGACCAGAATCGGGTCGGGTTCGTGTTCGAAAACTTAACCCATTTATAAAAACAGGTCGGATTCGGGTTGACCCGAATAGTGCCGGGTCAGTTCCAGGTTCGACCCGAACCTGACCTGTTGACCCGAATTGAAACCCCTATAGAAAGCTGCTTTAGAAAATAATGAGGAACTTGTCCCAATCGAAACCATAGTTTAAAACGTTTTGGTTGCTAATTAAACTGAGTTTATGGAGAAAGCTTTTACTAATTAAAAATTAATTGGCCTATCATGCAGAACTTTTAAATCAATGCAATTTCTTGCATAAGAATCCTAGTGCGATAATAATAATTGAGAAAACTAAGCAGAATTACTAAGCAGAATTAGAAATCAAGAACAGTTATAAAGGAAAGATATTAGAGAGAAAGACACCCTTCAATGAACCAATCTTTCATGTTTTATTTCGTCTTGGAGAGAGAATGCAATTAAGCTATATATAGATGGCGGAAGCTAACTAAAGCAGAACCTATAGCTGTCAAATATATATGAGTAAGACCTCTTCCAACTGAGTGATTACAATGAATAATCTTCAAAACTTGTTCTTTCTCAGAAGTTGTTCGTACATAATTAAGTTATTTTGCAGTTCATCAATGGTTATTGGATAAATATCTTTAGATTCCTCAATGGAAAACATAACATGATCAAACTTAGGAGTCATGGATCTTAAAATTCTCTCAACAACAGTAACATTACCCTCATTCATATATTTCTCCCCATTTTCTTTCATCTTGTTAGCCATGGTAAGAGCACAATAGAATTACTCATTCACATATTCTCCTATATATCTTCATGCGAAGAACTTCGAACTCCTTTCAAAAGAGCTTGTAGATTTTCGCACTTCACTTGTGCTATATCTTAGTATTCATGCTTCATAAAGTCCCAAATATCCTTCAAAGTCTGCTTGTTAAGGATTCTCTGTGATGGAATGATTAATAGATGGTTATTTATTTTCAAATCTTTCAATTACTGATCTTCAATATGCTTCTTTAGTGGAACTTTTATTTGGTCCGGTGAACGTACGCAACTGTACGTTCGGCCGCCAGTAGAATTGCGCCACGTGTTTTCATTATTTACCGCGCGCCCCGACAACCCGACCCGGAACGGACCCAAGATAAGATTGCTCGGTATTGCTAGGTATTGGTCAATTTTGCTCGGCAATAACCAATACCGAGCAATACCGAGCAAATATCGAGTTGCACCGAGTTGTACCGAGTTTTTTCTAGCAATACCAAGCAAATACCTAGCAATACCGAGCAAATCCCTAGCAATACCGAGCAAATCCTGAGCAAATACTGAGTTGTACCGAGTTGTAAAAAAACTCAGTACAACTCGGTATTTGCATGGTATTGGTCTTCACAGAGCGGTATTTCTCATTTTTGCAAAGCAATGCCTAGCAAATACCGAGCAATACGGAGAAAATCACGAACATAGCATTCCCGGGTTCCGCTCCGGGTCAAGTCGTCGGGCCGCGCGATAAAGAGTAAGAGCACGTGGCGACATGTTATTGGCGGCCGAACGTAGCTCTACGTCCGGTCAGAGGACGAATTGTTCTCTTTAGTGTGCATCATTGAGAACAACAACTTCTGCTACTACAAGAAGTAAATTTTGTAGTAGCTATCAATACTGTAATCACGAGAAGTTCTCCATAAGAATCGCTCAATGATCATAATACCCATCGAACTTTTGAACATCTTGCTGTACAAATAAACTCTCTATTTTCATTTGTAGATCACTCGCATAAAACTAATGCTTCTATTCAAGTTATAGGGCTCAATTACCAATTAATAAAAAATAGA